AATAACACCGCTGCTTCTTGGCTTTTGAAACGCATGTCTTCTAAAGCTGTTTTTTTGGAATTGTTTACTTTCAGTAATTTTCTTTTTAGTCGTGAAATCTCTGCTCGTTTTAAAGCTAAAAGCCTGCTCTGGTTTTGATTTTTTATCTCGACCTTGTTTGATGTTTTAAACAGAGCTCGCTTTGCAGTTTTTGATTTCATCATTGGGGAAGCTTTCTCAATCCAGCTCCGGACCGAAGGTGACATTTCTTCTATTACAAAATGTGAAGATGAAGTGCTGACTGATGGGGAAGGCTGCGGCGATGGCTTCGTGATGCAGTAACGCTTCGGAGATATTCCACTTCTCTGAACACGAGGGGATGGACTATCGACGAATTGTTGACTGGTAGATGGGCCGGCTTCGTAGTCAGGTGAAATGAATGGGAGAGGCAATGCTCCTTTCATCAAGCGTCCACTTGGCAGGATATCTTGGGGCCTACGAAGGTCGGTAACGTAGAGAGGAGTCAATAGCGGAGCGTGGCAGACGACACGCGCCTGCACTCTGGTGAGCTATTGGAGAATGACCGTTGGCTGTCTGCTTTGTTTCCCTTGTCTGTGGTATAACGGAGCAGACGACTGTTGGCGCAAGCGTTGTTTCCATTTAATTTTCATCGAAGGAGCTGTGATGTTTCCAAAGAAAGGGAGAGGGTTTCGTTATATCAAGAAAAAGACGCTGACAAATCGTTAAGCAGAGGTTACGAACGCTATATAGCTATTCTGGCAATAAAAAATTCCTTAAATTGAGGTGATTTATAATACTCTAATTATATTTATATAGAAAGATAAGTTTTCCAGTCCTGTACAACACTGATTCACGTACGGTCTTTTCCCGGTACCTAATCAAAATTCAAGTACAACTTGATATACACAGAATCTCCGGTTCCCGACCTGGATGATGGCTAGTTATTTATTTTTTTAATTTACAGTTACATATTAGTACCCGTGATAAATCAAACCCGTTATTTAAACTAAAGCCACACGGTTAATTATCTCACTTGGTTTTGGATTTGCTTACAAACGTGATCGGAAATGGTTACAAACGTGATCGGAAATGGCTAGGGCCTAAACAGTATTATTCGTAAATTCGTAAACAACGTTTATTTTTGTAAACATATCAGTGACAGCTAGAAAAATGAATCGTTATCAAAATAGCTGTTCGTAATTTCATATATGACGTGTTCTCTTAACAGATTATTAATATTTCATAAATGACGTGTGTTAACGTATGTTTACTAACATGGAGAAAAAACCTAGAAAATGACACAAAATTGGGTTTTTAATCATCCGTTATTTGATTTCCAAAATAGTGAGGCCATGTTTTAATGGCTAAGGATGACACTCCTGTGAATACAATTAAACCATTAGAATCATAATCGGTACTCTAGTTTTCTTTAGAGTAGGCTGCGTAAAACGCATTCTGGGCCGTGACAGACGGACATAAATTGAGATAAGACATGTTTCAACTTCTTCAATTTATAAAACGTAAAAATAAACCAAAACATGTATAATTCTGAGCAATGTATAGACAAAACTATTTATATAGATTAACTACAGGGTGTCCACATTCTGGAAAGTCAGGGATAGTCATGGAAAGTCATGGAAAAAAATTCTGGTCATTGAAAGTCATGGAAATAGGCAAAAAGTCATGGAAAGACATATGGAAATCCCCAATGATGGATGGATTTCAGGGGTCCTTTCAACGATCTAGTCGGCCGTAACCCCGACTATTGTAGCATTTTTCCGAATTTTTCACAAATATAAGACAATTCAATTTATTCAGTTGGTTTAGTTGATGGGTTTTGAGTTTGTATTTTGTTCATTGTTGTACCTGTTGTACGCCATTGTTATCTGTTAATACATATTTCAGTATTTTCTGTCTAGGCAGTATTATTCGTGTGTTTACGGTATATTATAATTTTCGAGTAAAGTTTGTGAGTCATCGAAATCAATGGTTAATGGTCATGGATAGGCCTAGTCATGGAAAGTCAGGGAAATTAATGAAAAAATTTCTGTGGACACCCTGAACTAGGTTTGAATTTTTAATATAAAAAAATGTATAAAACTTATTTTAGTTTTACAAATAGTGCTTGGCGGGGAATAATGTTTCTCATTTGTTGTGTACCTCATTTATTGGGGGGGGCTGTTGCTCAATTGGGGGGGGGGGGGGGGTGCGTCATGAGTCTAGGGGGGATGGGCACCCCTGTTTTGGTTTGTTTAAAAAACGTAAAGAAACAGAAACTACATCTAGGTTTTACTGTTATATATGGATGCTCCATTTACTACCATACCATACTTGCTAGGCTATATTATTTTAACCTTTTTTGCTTGGAACGTAAAGACAGTACCTGTTTCAAATCTCCTCCAAACAATATTGTTTTCCGCCCATTGGAACTTGTCATAGTACTCACTTAGTTAAGAAATTTATTTCCTGATCAAACCTATTTCATCTTTATTCCCAGGTTATTTTGTAAGAGTAGCCGTTGAGGTTATTTCACTTCATACCAAATATTGATTATATACAATAAAAATTATAGGCCCTATTATATACAATTATATACAAAATTGATATACAATAAATCTCAAAATTTAAAATGTTAGTTAATTTACAAAGAAGGTGTAGAATAAATCTAGAACATGTGTTTTGAAATATAAACAAAGCAGAAGTTTTCCATCTTGAATCGTTAATTATTTAGTCAACGTGGTTATTTCATGTTAAACGTTAAAAATACACAAATTTGAAAAGTTTCACAGTAAAATAATTTACTTCAACATTCTATAACCCTAAAAAGTCTTAATTAATATAGGTACCCTTAACCCTGGTTTTATAGTATACAGTATGTTGCAGAATTGACTAGCAAATGGAGTAATCCAGATGTAATTTTGCATACTGGCATAAAGATAAATCACGATCAAAAAAGTTTTGGAATTTCACTACCGGTATTTTTCCCGCCGTTACGGGATCGAGACCTTTAATTTGAGCCCTCTCCGGTCGTTCTACAACTTCCCAGTTGCCCACAATTTTGACGCAAAGAATCGGCTTACGTCATTAATACATAGTTGTGTCATAATTTAAAAAAATCCGGTACAGCAGTAAAGCAGTATAAAAAAATTCAGGCTAAGAATCATGAAACAGTCTTGTTACCATCCATGGGGCAGGACTAAAATTGAAGTTTAAATTTTGATTTTAAAATAGCCACCTAAGTAATCATTCTCTAATTGTTATGGAATATGCTCAGGTTCATTGTTAATAAGTATGTGCAATATTTAATATAATACTAAAATTTGAAGGCTTTACTTTCAATGTCCTTTATTTTATTGTTATATTTAAAAGTTATTGCTAAAAGTAATATTTGTAATTGTAATTTATAATATTATAGATTCCGTGCTTGCAATACAGGTAGTAATAACGTTTAGTTTTTGAAATCCGAATAGAATTAATAATAAATAAAAAAACAGTATTTTCTACCACTTGTAGCTACGGGCCACCAGTTCTGGTTACGATAGTAATAATTCCCTGTGTTGGGAGGGAAACGCCACCGAGCGTCCTTACTCGATATAATGGGGGCGAAAAGCGACGAATTACCCACCCAGCCGTGGCGCGGGGATTTCTGAAGCGTCCGTCCGGGTGAAACACCATTTTGAGGGTGTCCGCGTCAAACACGTCCGGGCTAAACACGGAGCCGTAGCAGCAGCTATTTCAGAAAGTCACGGTCACTAACCACCTAACCACTAACTAGCGTCGTTGTCGTAGTATTTATCTTGACTGCACTGCAACTGCAACTAGTTCCTCATAATTATTATTCATATCGTTTGTTATTCTTTATGTTATGATCGAGTTATGTCTGAGTTGAAGTTGGGGTTAGTTATTGATAGATTTTGATTGCTGCTGTGTTGCGGAGGTCATTTACTCATTTATCATCGATGATGTGCTCCTTCTTCAATGCGAAAATTCTGAGAAAAACGAGTAATGGAAGACATCAATAACACTGGAGTACTTTGTAGTTTATGTGGAAAAGTTTATTTTTAGTCTATGGACGAGAAGTACAGAAGGATTCCAATTAATGAGCCAGCTATGTTCAACAAGGCAAGGCCAATAAAATAATTTGTTTTATTCACTAGCGCTTTTGAATGGAAACCTAGTTTCTGAATGAAAGCGCTAGTGAATAAAATAAATTATTAAGTATTAGCCTTGTTGAACATTTACATTTAGTTATACATTCCATTATAAGCAAGATGCCAATAATCCTCAAAAAGCTTATACCATTAAAAAATAAATGAGAATTGGGATCTTCTCTTTTGGAAAACATGTTTGGATACAATTGAAGATAGATAAATAGATGATAACGGTAACGTAGCCCACAGAAGTTACTTAAAATTTATTTTATAAAATAAAGGAGGTGCCAGAGGTTACAGTAAGTAAAGTAACACATACATAAACATAATCTGTAAAATTCTTCATTCAGTTACAGTAATTAAATGGTTTGGAGTTTAGCGCGGGAGAACCGTTCCAGTTTCAAGTAGATTGTTGCAAGAGTTGCAGTGGAGATACTAGTGTGATTTTCTGAAACAGCTGCAGCTGTTACAAGTGTTACGAATAACGCTTACTTGCGCATGCGCAGACGCGCGGCATTTTCCGGTCTTGAAAGGCTCGCGTTAAAAGTGGGTTAAAATCACAATGCACAGTTCGGAACTGCAACTGTTAAAACATATATCTAAACAGGTCCAATAAAGATATACAGTGAAGCTATTACACAAATAGCTGTTATCCCAGGAACTGTTCCAATGCCTTCTGTTCTGCTGTGCATGTGGAAGCTGAGGTCGAGTCGAGGTTCTCGTGGGTACAGAGTCACAGACAATATAATACTTTAATGTATTATATTAACAAATCAATGATAATCAGTGATGATAATCAATGATAATACTGATCGGGTTTATTCCATTGTCTGTGACAGAGTACAGACAGAACGTCGAGTGTAACTAACTAGTTCCCTTTGCATTATTTTGCAATACTGGAACGGGAATAGATTGGATTGTGATTGTGACGTCATTTTGACGTGCGAGGTGGGAATAGTCACTTCAAAACAAAAACAAACCATTAGAGCCTATGTCAACTCATCAAAAGTTGTTAATAATTAATTAATTGTCAATGAGGTTAAGATTTTAGCATTGACGAGACGTCGACGAAATGGAAGTGTAAGTTTGGTATCTAAATTATATTTTAAAGTAAGGTTAATTTAATAGTTATTTTAATAACCGAAACTTTTTTACCTTCTTCAGTTTACCACCTTCATAGTTCCAGGTCATATAGGCTAAGTTAGTGTTAGACTAAATGTTTTGTGTGAGTTTTTAAAACTTCTATATGATAAGCCCATGTAGTTTTTAGGCCTAGTTGATTATTTCGCCTTTTTCACCAAATAAAAAATAAACGGTTTAAAGACAGCTTTTTCTAATGTCTCGAAAAACTGTGTCAGGCCTAAATTATGTGAGTATTGTTGTTAGGTAGGCCTATCAGCTGGCAATCAATTATCAATTATTTAAGATGGGGACGCCACTATGTGCGTATTTTAACCCAAATATGAGTGAAAGATGAGTGTAGGATGAGTGGCACGATCTTGTAGTCTTGTTAGTGACTAAGGCCGACATGTTCCTTAGACACAGCTGTTAATTAATAGCCCATACAGCCAATGGCAACTAAGGGACCTACAGTTTATAGTGGAATCCGAACCACATTTGTTCCTTGTAATTTACGAATTGGTCTAGTTATCGGGATAGTACTGCGGAGAGTCGTAGTACTCACTAGTGCCGACGTTAATCCACACCAGGGAGCATCGCATCCACAGTGTATCCCTATAAATATCCACAATTCCTGACCTCCTAGTAGCTGGATTACAGGACGACGCCACCCGTCCCAGGCTTATCACACCAGGGGCTATTAGCAGAACATTGTATTTGTTTTGCCATTTGTGTTTTGGCCTGGACTTGCCTCTAAGCCCTTTTTGTCAGGTCAATATTTGCACTTTTTTACTGTCACTTACCTACAACAAACCAATATCAGTATCAATTATTTAAGATGGGGACGCCACTATGTGCGTATTTTAACCCGAATATGAGGGAAGGATGAGTGGTGCGATCTTGTAGTCTTGTTAGCACGGCCACCTTTGACTCCAGGCCGCGGCCTTCGAAGTGGCAACATCGCAAGTAGGGTTGTAAGTTAACAGCTGTTTTGTTTGGAGGCGGCTAATGGTAATTTGTGTATTTTTAAACATACAAAAGCTTGTTTATACTTGGCTATGAAAATATTGACTCCAATTTAACGTACAAAAATAGATTTTCAATAAGTTTTAAACATTGCTTTGGTTTTCAATTGTATATTATTTTATTTTTAATCCTTTAATAAATTTATGTTCGTAAATTTAAATGAATAATATGCGAATTAATGACCTGGTGTCACCTGTCTTCCATGTTATCTTATGGGACGTCTAGCACTAGACAACACCACTTGCAACATTGCCAATTCTACGAGGCCGCGGCCTGGAGTTAAATGGCTGTGCTTGTTAGTGACTAAGGCCATAGACTAAGCAACACAAGTAGACTCCCCATCCCATTGTTTTTGTGTCTAGTTCATGTACGTCCTCACAAATGGCTGGAGACGCTGGGGTCCAGACATAAGTTTATCAGTCATTTTGTTCTTTACAGTAGGTAGCTTACTATTTTGATAACTTCAGGCCCGTTTTTCACCTAGGGCGCTGACTCTAGGCACAATTAATACTTAGTAGCGCCCCTTTGCCCTTTGCAATATATATGTGTGTGTCCACCGACCAGGAAATCCGGAAATAATGCTAGAGTTTTTTTGAATCGGGAATTATGAGTGAATTTTGTATTTCTACCTGTAGCCTAATTTCAATTTATTGTGATCGCCCATGACAACAGTGACGTTTCTGTAACCCCGAAAGACGATAATAGGCCTATGTCTACACACTGACGAGGTATGATCAGAATTTTGCCGCGATTGCAGAAGACGACTGATAATTTTCACACGACCGTGGGAAAAAGTCAGAATTTTTCTGCGACTGCGGAAAACGATGATGATTTTCACAAGACTGCGGAATATGATTAACATTTTGACGCGAACGCGGGAGGCGATTACGATCTCTACAGGACCGAGGGAGATACAATAATGATATCTTCAGAGCCGCGGGGGATTATCAGAATTTTACCACGATCGGGCAAGACAATGATAATGTCCACATTACCGAGGGAAAATAATCTCACGAAAGCGGGATATGTTCTTATATTGCCGCGATCATGGAAGACGCTGATAATGTCTACAGGACTGTGGGAAATTAAATATTCAGAATTTCGCACATATTTTTTTTTGTTTTATTTGGTTTACAAAAATTATTGAGTTTTTAAATGACTAAAATAACAAGAAACAAATTGTAAACAAAACACGACCTCTACAGTTGGACGTACAGAACTAACAATAAAATTGGCTTCAGCTGTTCCATAAGGATGTCAAATCTACTAAGGGAGTATGTTTTATCTTTGCTAAGGCTGGCATGTTCCTTAGACACAGCTGTTGATAAAACATACTCCCTTAGTAGATTTGACATCGTTGACGTCTCACGTGGCCGTATAAACTTCGTAACCGTCTCCCGCCATTGCGGCAAAATGTTAATTATTACATATTATCGTCTTGAGCGGTTACAGAAACGTCACTGTTGTCATGGGCGATCACAATAAATTGAAATTAGGCTACAGGTAGAAATACAAAATTCAATCATAATTCTCTAGCTATTCACTCACAGCTGTGGTGCTACCGTCGCTCACGGTATCGTCGTCAAGGCAGTTCTCGTACTTGCCTATTACTATATTATTTAACGTGTGATAAAGGTTCACATTGTGTATGCACAAATCTATACTTATAAAAGGCAAAGCCCTCACTGACTCACTCACTCATCACTAATTCTCCCACTTCCCATTTACCTAGGAGGCTGAAATTCGGTACACCGACTCTTAGTACTAAGTAGTTTTTATTCTGATCGGGCTTTTGGGCTCCCCCCCCAGTGGCTCTGGAGTTTCCCATGTTAACCTTATGATTTTTCATATTTAAAACGAATTTCTTAACAGCTGTTTCAATTAAACAAGTTGGTTCTGTTCTATGATGTTCAATAGCATTAAAATGACAAGGATTACCAGCAGGGTGCAGCACTATTATTTTTTAAACATCATCATGTTAAAGTAAAAGGTCTACAGTTTCTATAACTTAGTCAGTGATCTTGATACAGTACAGTAGGAACCCAGCTGTCAAGATCATTGACTATAGAAACTGGAGACCTTTTTCATAAACACAGAAGAAGAAACTGTCCTTAATGTAAACATCTGTTAAAATAAAATTGTAAACAAATCTATATATTAATACGCAAGCAGTTTTCTTTTCACAGTCATAACTCGATAACGGTTTGACGGATTTTAAAGTTTGAGGTGTCAAATTAAAGGTATTTTCGCGTAGATGTGCAAATACGTCTCAGAATATTTAGAAAGGGCACCGCTTAAGTACACTTAAGGGCTAAAGTTTGGAAGGCGGCGCTATCTGTTGACATTTGATCAAACTCATTTCCCTTTGTTTACAAATAACATATGGACGTAGTTTGAAATAGTTTTTAAGGTTAACCACAGACTGCAGGACTTTTAAAACTTCCAGAGCAAAGCTGGAATTTATTATTTTGTTTCAATCTGTTAACTAAGTCTGGTTCATAATAAAGAGTTTCCTATCAATACAAGACAACAAAGTGTTTAAGAATAACAAATATTTAATAAGTATTTAATTCTTTTTGTCTACGGTTAAATTGATTTACCTTAAATCATATTTTACTGATTATCATGTAGTTACAGTTCGATGTGATGAAGTGAATGTTTAAAAGTGATTCTTCACTGGGCAGTTATCCATTACATTACCATATTATCACGTAATTTAGGCCTACAATGTGTATCCAACTTCCAATTACTTTATAGTGTTTTCTGTTGTTTGGTTAACTTTCTTATTTCATTTCAATGTAAAATCAAATGCCGCCAGTACGACGAAGAACTGTGAGTGGCTGGAGGGAACGCGAACATGACCGCTTGCATCAACCTCTCAATTGAACATTTGATGGGTACATAGTGGTAGTACCACTGTTGTGATAGTCCAATCTCGGACAAATGAATGTTAAAGGTTTACATTGTAGTGGCTTATATTTTAATCAAGAAAAGACTGGCCGAGACAGTAAAGTTTTTACTCTTTGTTGCAATAAATGAAAGGCTCGTTTACCTCATTTGTGCAATTCACCATACCTTCAGGATCTTATTGGAAACTCCCAATCTGAAAAAAGGACTGTGAGACTTATATCCAGAAATTATTTGGATAAAGTTTGTCAATTCAGTTCTGCCTTTACCATGGTCAGCTACAAAGCTCATTAAGATGAGAAAGTTCCACAGGGGATCTGCAATTTTAAGATCCGTGACACGTTTTACCACCGAGTGGGTCCTCTAATTCCTCAAGAAGGTGATGATACTAAATACGCACAGATATATAAGTAAGCACGGCAATGTCACTAGAACCCAAAGGAGAACTAAGTACAATTAACAAAAGTGCAATAAAAATATGCGGGAAATAGGGTCACAATGCCAACCCATTTGCAAATCTTTGAAGACTGTGGCAGACATTATGTAGGGAAGAGAGCTCCGAGGAGTCAAGTGAGATTCTTATGTACATAATAACAGAAGTGTCTTCCTTCGCTACAATGGTGCTACCTGTGAAGATTCCGCAGCAATTTTTAAAGCTGAAAACAAAGCACCACCTGGCCAAATAAATCGTATAGTTTTTTCCAACACTAATAATGTTAAACGCGTATCCATTATAGATCTGTCGTTAGATCCACTTGCTTACCCTCTTATGTTCCCAACCGGAGACTTGGGTTAGGGCCCCTAATTTAAATACGCCTTAAACAGAACACATCAAAGAAATAATTTAACAATGCTAGAATAAGAGTAGCGATGGTTAGCGTCAAGAGAGGAATTGAGCTACATTATGTCAAAAGCTCACTTTACAGTGTGTGGTTGACATCTACGTGCTCATAGAGTGCACCCGCCTACTATACATAAGAGATAACCAAAGCAGTATGAGAATGAATGTAAATTTAAATACATATTGT